TGTCAGGGATTGAACCCAGGGCCTTGTGCATGCTAGGCAAGTGCTCTAGCAACTGTGCAACACCCCCAGCTCACAAATATTGGAATGTGAATTTCATATGTCAGGAAATGTGATTAGGGATTTGTCTTTCAATTCTTATAAAATTTAAAAGCTGTTCAAATTATACTCCCAAAACACGGGACAGCAGCTGGATGTGAGCTGGTGGCCACAGTGTGCTAACCCCTGCTTACCTTGCACCATGAAGTCGCTTATCAGACACTTGTGAGGAGGTGAAAGGGGCTAGCAGTGAGCACCAGTGAGGAGGGCAGTGCTGAGTGCTGATAAGGTAAAGGGTCACTGTGGCTGCTTTCCCTGGGAAGTATTTACTGAGATTTACATAAGAACTCTCCAGACAAATTAGCATGTGCTGTCCTTGTTCTGACAGGCCTTAATCAAGTATCCATTTCCTCAGACAAATCACATGCCCCTCTTGGCCTCTCTTGATGCATGTTCATGAGTGTGTACGTGCATGCATTTGTGTGTCAAAAAGGTCTCATAAGTCATCTTTGAGTTTTGTTTTTTTTTCTGAAACACTCAAGATTCAATAGAAACTTTTTTTTTTTAGGCAAATTTCCCTGTTCAAGTTTGTTCTTGCTTCTTGCTCTGTTCCCTTGTCACAGATTCTGTGGGTCACCTTCTCCTCCGCACTCCTTAAGACATCTGTCTGTCTGTCTGTCTGTCTGTCTGTCTGCATGTGCACATGGAGATGTGAGTTGAGGAATCAAAATTGGGTCATCAGGCTTGGTGTCGTTCCTCGTGAGCCATCCCATCTCATCCACCCTCTCACTTTGACTCTGCATCTTTAAACATTCTTTGTTTTAAGGTTCATTGATGTTGTGTTTAGAAGCATGGGGGGGGGCAGGCAATTGAAACATCTCGGATAAGAAAAGAGAACAAGAGGTGGAGGGTAGGCGGCTGTTCTTTGTGTGGATGTGTAAAGCTACACGCCTCAACCATCTGGTGAAAAGGTTTTTTCCTGGTTTCTTTTCCTTGTGTTTTTTATGCTTTTTGAGAGACAAATGTAAGGTTCTCATGCCCCCATCCTTTTTTCTTTCTAAGATAAAAATAATAGGAACTCATTTTTATAGAGATTAATGAAATCTCCTCTTCTCTTATTGGCAACATGAGGTTTCACCAGATCTCTGATCTCACACTGAATGAAAAGTGAAGACCAACAATGGAGGCAGAGGCTGGGGGCTTGAACCCAATTTGGATTAGCATGCACAGCAGCAGGTATTCAGAAGTGAATGGCAGGACCCGGCTTTGGAGTTGGTACTTAGCATCAGCCCCCAGGACCAGGCTATTGTTCCACTCTGATCCTAGGCATGTTACCAGGAGCCTGAGCCTCATGATCGGATGCTCAGGGGTGACAGGCGGGCATCAAGCTGTCAGCCAGGTGGCTGAGACATGCTACCAGGCAATAGCCAGGGCAGACACTGAGCCGGGAACCTTAGAGAGAACTAAGTTATGAAGCCTGTGTCCTCTCCAAGTCTCCAGTTTCTCCTGTGAACTTGTACCTATTATGTTTGTGTTCCAGCCTAGAGAAACAGGACAGTATGGTGACACATTTGGGCATCTTCTTGCTTCTTTTTGGGTAACCACAGGACCGGAGCACTTCCTGTTTCCTATCCCTTATCAGTCTCCATTTCTTGTCATTATTTCCTAACATTTTTAGGGGGTAGTTGGCACATCTGCTGACACTTGTGTTTTCCCTCTTCCACCCCAGTGTCATGCTTTGTTACTTAGCACAGTCAGTCCTATGACTCCCAGAGTTCCCTAGAGTTCTTACACAAATAGCTGGGTGGACTCTGATGCTATATTTCCAGTGGGTTCAACAACGGTGTGAGCTGCAGGAGACAGTGAACCATGCCTGGTTTACCTCATTTTCAGACACTGTGCCGGCCTCACCCCGTTTTCAGTTGAGCAAAAGGCTGAGATTGTATTTCATCATTTGAAATTGCTAGCCAAAGACCGCCATGATGGCCCAGTGGGTAAAGGTGCTTAGTACACGAGCCTGATGGCCTGGAGCTTGTCTTTGTAAAGGTAGAAGGCAAGAACCAACTCCATGGAGTTGTCCTCTGACCTCTGAGTGTGTATCCTGACATGTGCTCCCCCCTCTCATCACATTAGTGCTAGTGCGCATGCCCAGTGACTTTCCCCAGAGACCAGGGAATGATAGCTCTTCAGCACTTGCAACCCTCACCAAAACTTGATGTTACTTGTTTGAGCTGCCACAGAGGTTCACAGGCGCCAGGAGAGAGATCTAAGAGAAAACTAGCAGCATAGCAGAGACAGACGAGGTGCATGTTCCCAACACCCTCTTTGATGCTGGACAGTGGCCGCTGCCACTGCTCCTACTTAGTCCTGTGACCCCAAAGGGAATTGAGGCAGCTCTAAGGAGGCTTCCTGTAAGTTGTGATGCTCAGCAGCTTGGCCTGGTTAAATGCATTTACCCTGTGATACTTTCAGCCTGACTTACTAGGATGCAGCCTCGGTGCAAGTCAAGGGGTTTTTGTGCTACTGGCTCCCAAGAGAAGCGCTTTCCACAGGCTGGGGTCTCAGGCTGAGCCTCTGAAGGCAGAGTAGATTGAGAGGAAGAAGATGGAAGACAAGGCTGAGGATACGGTAATAGTCAACTGTGGAAGCCAGCAGTTCTCAAAAGTTGGGATTCTGGTAGCAGAATTATTCAGGATATAGTATAAATCATCTGGTATTATTTGCGTGTATTTGCTTTACATTATTACAGATTATGATGACTCGAGGAGAGACAGGAATTCCTACCCCCCAAGGACACTGAGTATTAATGGGCAGTGACAATAGTGATGGTACAGATAGCTCATTCCTTGCTGCTCTGTTTAAGGTGCCCCAGCTCTCTTCATCCCATTCCCCCTTCCTTCTTAAGCTCTTAAAGAGATTATAGGAGAGGGTTCTCAACTGGTGGATTGAGACCCCTGTGGGGTTAAATATCTGATATCCTGCATATCAGGTATATACTTTACAATTCATAACAGTAGCAAAGTTACAGTTCCGAAGCAGCAATGAAATAATTTTATGGTTGGGATCAGCACCCCATGAAGAACTGTAGTAAACGATGGCTGCATTGAGAAGGTGGAGAACCACTGAGGTGAGACATTGTTTACCTCACTCATGTTTGATAAGACCTGGATGAATCCCCTGAGTGAGGCAAGGGGCACCAGACTTTGGCTCTAACTGCTCTGCCAACAAACTCTATTTTAATTATGTGCATGCCTGTGTGCAGAGGTCTGAGGACACCTATGAGAGCTGTCCTTTGTTTGCTTGATGATAGCTGTTCTGACTGGGTGAGATGGAATCCTCACCATTTGACAAGCATCTGACTTTTGTCTTTGCCAGCTGATAGCCTGCTAGTGTGTCGCTAAGTACCTGCAGGTAGACAAAGGTTGGGCAGACCTGTTTCAATGAAACCCCTGGAGAATGATTGGACAATTCAGTTCATTCTGTCAGTGTTTTCTTTTTAATATTTATCTTTATTTTATGTGCATTGCTGGTTTTGCATGCATTTCTGTGTGAGAGTATCAGACAGTTGTGAGATGCCATGTGGGTGGTAAGGGATTGAACCTGGGTCCTCTGGGAGAACAGTTGTGCTCTTAACCACTGAGCCATTACTCCAGCCCCCCCCCCCTGTTCCATCAGTGTTTATTTTGTGCTTTGTGTTGAATGTCTGCGTGATACCCACAGGGTCTTCTGGCCAGGCTCTTTGTCCTCATTAAGGTGGAACCAAATGCTGCTTCTTCCCCGACAGCTGCTCCTTCTCCTTTCAAGCTGTGCCTCTGGCTCAGCAAAGGCCACACAGCTTCAGAATAGTCCTGGCGTTCATCTTTTCATGTACTCAGATGGACTTTATACTCCATGGACACTCTAGCATGCTCCATCCAGAACAGAGTGAGGATTGCAGGGGAGGACACACTCAGTGTTATGAATCAACTGTTGTTACAGAATCAATTCTGTTGATCTGAGAGTCTGGCGTTGCTTCTGATGTCTGATGTCTAGTCTAGAATCATCATTTCCCTCCTGGTACTCCATTTGTTCCACTAGGAGAAACGAATCCCATATGTGAGAGACAAATAGTAGAGCAATAATTTAAACTTTCTGATCATGTAGTTTTTGTAAACCAGTCTCTTGATTCTCCTTCTTAAATTTTGAGTTTTGTTTTGGAAATACTGCTACAGTGGGAATAAAAGTCAGAGCAGCCAACCCCGCTACTTTGGACAAGTTAATAGCTTTTGCTTTTCTGTCATTTGGCTCAGTTCCTTTTAATATACAGATGCATTATTTTTATGTAGCATCACAGCAGATTTGATACGAGTAATTGCAATAAAAAGTATATACAGCTGCCATTAATCTTTAATACTTGTTAGGAAAAGTGCTTCCCGTGTATTTGGCTTGTCCCATCAATCCCACAAGGGTTACTATTTACATTTTGAGGATGAAGAAACTAAGTGAATATAGTTCCTGGCTTTGATGGTTTAACTTAATAATTTTCAGCTTTATAATGGAATGAAAGTACACCATATAACCATTCTGTTTTTCAATTTCAGTAAAGCACGTGAGTTACTCAACCCTTCATTATAAAGTAGGTCTTCTTTTAGACAGTTTTGCCTACCAAAACTTAATGTGTGTTTTCTGAAGATGTGTAATGGGTAGGCTGGCCTAAGTCTAGATAGTATGTTAGGTATATTACATGTTTGGTTTATGATCTTTTGTACATGTTCTGGGTTTAGCAGATACAAACCTATCATCAGCTGAGACATTTGTATTAGCAAAATTTGTTTCTTCCAAGTCACATATTTAACAAGTAGTGGAACCATAGCCAAGCCTTATCTCAATATTAAGCAGAAGCCTGGCTAGAAAGCTATAATGAAATGACTGATAACATCAGACCTGAGGTAGACACATATACCTGGATCCTCTGCTCCCCTCAGGCACCTGCTGGAAGTGGCTCCTGACTTGAGGGTGAAGAAAGGAGCTGCTGGCCCCATGCAGCCCCAGGACAAGGCCATGGTGATGTAGAACTCTGAAGATCCTGTGGAGCTCAAGCTGGAAGAAGCAGTCAGTCCTTCAAGGCAAGATTATTACCTGTAAAACATCTAGGCATTTATTTCTGAGTATTGTGAGATGCTGGTGTTAATGTGACCTACCAGACTAGCAAAGATGGAATGCTTCCGGCTCAGTTCCACTGAACACAGCACCATGTGAGCGATCCTTACCCTCGTCATGCAGTCATGCACGGATGGAGTTTCAGGGTTTTGCCAAGTGCTGGGAAATAAAGATATACAGAGGCAAAGAGAGCTGAGGTCACAGGGTCACACTGAGTTCCTAGAAGCAGAGTGAGGCTGGAATCTCCCATCACTAAGCAAATGGGAACCAGTGGCTAGTAACTCTGCCCATTGTCCTTTTATGACTTTAGCATTTGATATTCATTACAAACTCAGTTTGTTGAATGGATGGGTGGGCAGATAGAATTGCTTGTTTTGGGCAGCTGCACTCTCTATTGCTGGAAAATGACTAAAATAATCGAGCTCTTCTCCCATTTTTAAATTTTCACAAATGGAAACTGGGTGTGTGAAAATAAGTGTGTAAGAATATGAGAGTGTTTATGTAAGCCTCTGTGTGAACGAATCATCTGTCTATCGTTATCGATTATCTATATATGTGTCTATCTATGTTTCTATCTGTCATCTAGCTTCTATTTCAGTGGTTCTCAACCTGTGGATCATGACCCCAGCAGGGGTCAAATATCAGATATCCTGCATATCAGATATTTACATTACAATTTGTAACAGTAGCAAAGTAACAGTCATGACGTAGTGACAAAATAATTTTATGGTTGGTGAATCACCACAATATGAGGAACTGTATTAAAGGGTCACAGCATTAGGATGGTTTCGAACCACTGATCTTTCTGATTGTGTGTGTGCGTCTCAGTGTGAGTATATGGGTATGTGCAAGTTGGTAGATGTGGGGGGAGGAGTGTTGACAACCCAGTCAAAGGCTCCTTACTTTTGTAGTGTTGGGTATAGACTAAGCACTAAGGAATGGCAGGCACCTTCTTAGTATTACATTAGTTAGTATTAACATCTGCGGTGTTATGCAGCAGAGATCATGATGTGCATTTACCTGACCTGATAAGATTCAGAACCATTAAGTACCCTGTCCAAGGTCATTCTGGGGAGTCTTGACCAAAGCTGGTGACCTTCTCACCATACTAGCCTTCCCATCTTAGCAAGACACTGCTGCCAGGCACAGTGTTTGTTAGGGTAGGGAGGCTGAGAGGCAAGCACAGATGGAGCTGAGCTATATTGGTCTTGAGAAATACTGGAAGAAGAAGTAACTTCAGGGTCTTCGAGTAGGGATTAAGTATTGGAACATTTCAGGGGATGGAAATCTCCACGAGTATCTGGTTCTATCTGCCTAGCTTTACATAAAACCAGTTTCAGGGCTGGTGCCCGGGAGGCCACCTTTATAGAAAACATCCCCAGTTGCTTGTTTGGTTCCAATAAGATTCTGGATGGAAGGTCCCTAACCCAGAGCAAGGATGCAGGCCAAGCGAATGAAAAGACACCGTTTTTAAAGCATAAAGGAAGCCCTTTACCCCTTTAGTTTTAAAATCTCAGTATCCATGACAACTGGACAGAGTGAAGAAAATGGCTGTCCCTCCCCTCTTCATTGTTTGACTTTCTGTTGCTGCAGCAACTGAATCTACTGGGCCCAGCCAGATTGTCCCGGGGCTTTCTTCTCTCTCAGTCCCCCTTTATTGCCGGCCCTCCTCGGTGCCAACATGGCTTTGTCTTACTCTGGAGACATCTGTGAGAACGAGGACGAGGATGGGCAAAGTGTCAGGCTCTTGATGCTGCTGAAAATCCTTTGAGATGGGAGAAATTGCTGAAACAAAGGGGCAAGGAACAAAAAGGCCTGAAAGGCCCACACCAGCCTCTGAGGGTCTTTATCATCTTAAACCTTGGGATTTAGAGCGTCTAGCTCTGCCTTTCCCAGGGAGGGTTTGGCAGGGATACGAAAAGAATGGGCCTAGGAAACTGGCTGCCTAACAGCCCCAGAATAGAGAAGTTCCTGGGAGACAAAGTCTGGTTAACTTTGCATAGGGCTGCTCTCTTCCTTGCCCCTCCTTCCACAGCCCCTCTATTCTTCTCTCCTATCCTCTCTTGTATGTTTCTGATTAATAATCTCCCACTTGGAGGAGCTCAAACAAGTAGGTGGGTCTTCAACATTCATCAATCAGCCCCTTTCAATAATTTGTCTTAAGTGAACAATCAGCTAGTTATGGGAAGATTTGTGGATCTGCACAGTGCTGGGATGTGGTGGGAAAATCTAAATGGACGTAAAGTGTGTCTGATGCACTGCACCTTGTTTATGCCTTGAAGAAGCAATGGCTTCACTCCTCCTATAGCTGCATATTGGTCCGGTGCCCGCAAAGCACAGTCCCTATCCTAGTTTCAGAAGATTACAGTCATTATTGAGGAGCAGTGGAGGCAGGAACTCAAAGCACTGTACCCATAGTTAGGAGCAGAGAGAGAATAAATGCATGGATCTTTGCTTGCTCTCCTGCTTATTACTCAGATCGTTTACTCTTAGACAGCCCAGGACCTAGCATGCAGTGGTATCGTCTGCAACCAGGGTGGGTCTTCCCAACTCAGCTGATAATCAAGACAACCCTCCACCCCAACTCCATGCCAACAGGCCAACCTGAGGTTGAGAGTCCCTTATTCTAGGTCATGTCAAGTTGACAATTAAAGCTAAGCATTACAGGTCTTGCCAGATGATGCAGACCTAAGTGCAGACCACAATTTGCAGTGAGTACTGTGATGGAAAGGGACAAAACTGGGGTGGGAAGATGGGGGCGGTGAGAGCATATTGGACACCCTTATCCTCACCAGCTGCTGGGAGAGAGTTCTCTAAATGCCAGTGATCTCAAACGTAGGTGTTGAGGATGCCAGCTTAGGTCTGTATGCTACAGCGGCATGTGCTTTATTGGTTGAGTAATCTCCCCAACTCAGGATATGTAGATTTTGGAGCTGTTCATTAGAAGAGGCTGGGAGGCTGCTGGACAGCCCCACCCAGAGCCTCAGGGAGACTACGGCCAGGTCCAAAGCACACTGAGGAGGGCCAAGCTGAGCCAGCAGAGAATGGTCTTCCTGGCCCAGCAAAGGGAGTGGTGAGAATGTGTGCACAGCTGTGAGGGTGTTTGCTGACTTAGCATCAGGAAAGCCAGGGATTTGCTGTCTTCTCATGGCTTCCCCTTTTGCAGAGGAGAGGCTGCCTACTTAGTGAAAAGGAAGGAAGTAATATGTGAAGGTGGTGAGGGAAGAGGGTTAGAGACTAGGAAAGAAGAAAGGTTGGTAACGTATGAAGGGTAAAACAAGCTACAAAGTAACATGTCTGGATCAGAAAGTTAAACTGTAGCATATGTGTTTAGGTGTATAAGAATGTTATGTATACATGTTCACACACACATACAGTTTCTGGTTAGTATGGTGATACAATTCAAAATGCTTTATGCTTTTATTTTCTTTGAGACAGTGTCTCACTTTGTAGCTCTGGCCTGTAATTTACCATGTAGATCAGGCTGGCCTTGAACTCACAGGAATGCTGGAGTGCCTCCCTACTTTATGCTTTTTCTGTGTTTTTCAAATTCACTAAAGTAAATATACACTGCTTTGACTCTCAAAAACAGACAAACAAAAGAACAAACCCTCAAATAGCTCCACAAACAGATTTTTTTCACAAAGGAGATAAAACATATAGCATATAAGATCATTTGCTTTCATTTTTTAAGGAAAACTTGTTTATTAACATATTGAAATTACTAGAAAATTAATCATTAAACTGTGACTTAAAACAGCAAAACAGGTATTTGTCAAAGAGAACTACCCTAAACTTAAGCAGTATGGTGAAGGCCATGGTGTGCATTTCAGGGTGACAGCCTCCTCATTGGAAGCTTTTCTGCCAGCAAGTCCAAGACTGATGTCTTGGCTCTTGGGGAGAGGCAGACAATGGCAGGCGTTCATGCTGCCTGAGACAGCCCAGAGTGTGTACCACCTGAGCTGAATCCCAAGCACTGGGTGGTACTTTTGATACCTCCAATGATCTTAAAAATTGACTATTCTAAAGTTTCTTAGACTTGAACAAGTTGTTATGAAAACCACACTTACACCGGGCATGGTGGTGCATGCCTTTGATTCCAGCATTTGGGAGTCAGAGGCAGATGAGCTAGAGGTCAGCCTGGTCGACACAGTGAATTCCAGGATAGCCAGAGCTGTTGCACAGAGAAATCCTCTCAAAGGGGGGAAAAAAGAAAGAAAACCATGCTCATGATAGCAAGTGTGCTTTTGCACAACCATCTAAACATGTAAAAACACTTGAAAGTGTTTGTTCCCTTCTTTCTTGTACCTTAGGGGCAATCTATACACATTGTTACAGACTGGAGCTAACTAGAGACACAGGCAAGGGAACTGCCCGCACACCACATGTTATAGATCTAGCTCTATAAAATTAGCCTTATCCTAAGCAATATCCATGAAATCACTGTTAGCTGGCTATGTATGGCTAATATGCATTCAAATTAATGCATAGCTACCCAAACATTTCCATTTGTACTATCCAAAGTTATCCAGCATGTGGCACACTTAGGGAAGTAAAGCTTCAGTGTAGAGCTTGAACATTTTGCACACATCTTGCTCCAAAATGCTTCTCGGGACAGAACAGAAGGGAAGCATGTGCATGGGATGACTTTCATAAGACCTAAAGGCACCAAGAGCCTGAGCCCACCCTGGGATAAGGGCATGAGTTTACAAACCTGGCTCAGCTGGGGAAGGACAGGGCAGAACCTCTTACTCTGCCCTCTGCTAGTTCCATCTGATGTTGCCATAATTGGGTCTTGTAACGCCACAGAGCAAGGGAGGGGAAAAAAAAGGAAATCCTCCCCTTTCTGAGATGTTGCTTTTCCTAATAGAAGAGGTCAAGAGGCTGGCTGCACAATCTTGAGATCAGACACAGTGTCTCTCCATCAGAGCTAAGGGGAAGCAGACCTAGCTAAGTTAAATTTAGGTCCTGAATCCCAGAATCTAGTAGTGTAAAGGGTTTAGCTAACCAGGTCCCATCAGGGCCCTGAGCTCTTGGCCACACTTCTGTGGTCTCTCTTTCCTCGTACATCGTCTGAAACACCATATCATGTGGCTTTCTTTTCTGAACTCTCACTCTTGGCCCATAATAAAGAGAAATCACCAAGAGTGAGAGCAAGAAAGACACATGAGAAAGTGTTCAACATCCTTAGTCATTAGGGAAATGCAAATCAGTGGCTAAAATAAAAAATACTAATGACAGTTTATGCTGGAGAGGATGCGGAGAAAGAGGAACACTCCTCCACTGCTGGTGGGAGTGCCAACTTGTACAGCCACTGTGGAA